ACACACACACACACACACACACACACACACACACACACACACACACACACACACACACACAGAGTTCTCATGGGAACTCTGACCACCTGCAGATCACACTGCACACACATTTCTTCCTGGTTCGTTAAAACTTCTCTGTCTTCCTGTTCGTCAGTCTTCTACTCATCTGCTCTCCCTCCCGGGGCGCTGGACATCCTGGGCTTCTTTTCCTATACTGGAAATCAGGCGACATGATGTGAAAAAAAGGGGTATAAAAAAGGCAGTCCTGCACCTTAGTAATGATAACGAACTAATGACATTAGCGTGTGACCGAGCTGCTCCTCAAACAACAACAAACACATGTTCATCTGTAATGGCTGCCGTCTACCGGTGTTCTGAAAAAGTTTGTATCCCTGAAAAATACGTTTCCCCACCAGAGGGGGGTGCTCACGAGTAGGAAGTAATCTGCTTTTCCAACACAAGATGGCCCAAATCTGATGTGAAGTCTCTGACTTTTGTGTTGCGCCTCCTGGTGGACTATGTGTAAAACGCCAGAATTCATATGATGCTGCTACAGCTGATATACAGTATATTTGTTGTCAAAATACCTTTTAGTACATATGTTGTTAAAATAAAATGAACAGTCCAATGATCATTTTACTGATATGTATAAAGACTGCAAAGGCTGAAAATCTTGAAGTCTGTATGAAATTGGAGGTAGTTTGAGGATTAAATTTTTTATGCTGTTTAAGCTCAAAAAAGGGGGGTCGTATTATACATGAATAAATACGGTAAGTGTGTTTGTGCGTATATGTATAATATAATTTGTGTGTTTGTATAATAACAGTAAATATTGGTTATCGGCCATAGCAGCAACAATTATATCAAATATCGATACCGGCTGAAATTTTCATTTGGGTGCCTCCCTCTTTAGAAMCTCTGCTCCTGCTCTTCCTGTCAGTTTAATATCTAATGGTGTGTTTTCTTCACYGCAGTCGGTGTCACAGATGTTGTTGGCATATCTCTCGCGCCTCTCGGCCATCGCTGACAACAAGATCAACTGTGGGCCGGCCCTCACATGGATGGAGGTACGTCTACTCCCAGTTCACCAACACGCCAGAGGATTCTGGATTGTAGAGCTGCTGCAGGTAATCTGGGTCTGTGTTTGTGTTACAGGTTGACAATAAGGGCAATCACCTGCTGGTCCATGAAGAGTCGTCCATCAACGTCCCAGCCATCGCTGCTGCCCACGTCATCAAACGCTACATCGCTCAGGCCTCAGACGAGCTGTCCTTTGAGGTGACCATAAAAAACTGAATAATCACTGTGTAAATATGATAAATAAAAAGATTGTTTAATAAAAAGATGAGGCAGACTCCTGTGAGGCTGTTAAATAAAATGAAGCATATTATATGTGACCAGAGGGAAACCTGGTGTTAAAACTGAAGCCTGACTGTCAGCAGCTGTTCTTTAAACTGCTCTCTGCAGGTCGGAGACATCGTGTCTGTCATTGACATGCCCCCTAAAGAGGACACCACCTGGTGGAGGGGCAAACATGGCTTCCAGGTACCCCCCACCCCTTCCTCTCTGCAGACTCTTCAGGGTCTACATCTGCCTGTAATCACATTGGAGGGGGTTTTCAGATCGAAGCACGTTGCTTCAGACCTCATAGAAAGATTGTTCTGATCAGTTCAGAGACAAATTCTGTCACAGCCCCRCGCAGTGCTCAGCTTTAAAACCGTTCATATTCCTGAGTTTTAGAGCAGAGATTCTTAACCCATGGG